CCTTCCTGGTATTGTAGTACTTTTAAAGTTTTCTCACCGGTGAATGACACATGATGTAGCCCAGCGGTTCCCAATCCCAGTCCTCGCGCAAGAGAAGCAGGGGAAATCCGTTGAAGTTTACTTCACTTCTGAACATTCATTCACGGATTTGCGCTGCGCAGCGTCTTCACACGCAGACGAAACTTACTAGAGAAGTGTGACATAATTAGGGTTGGGTATCGAAAACCGGTTCCAAATTTCCAAGACCCCTAAGAACTTCATTTGGACAACTTTAAAGATGATTTTCTCAATATTTAGATTTTTTTGCACCCTCAGATTCCAGATTTTCTAATAGTTGTATCTCAGCCAAATATTGTCCTATCATAACAAACCATACATCAATGGAAAGCTATTTATTCAGCTTTCAGATGATGTATAAATCTCAATTTTGAAAAATTGACCCTTATGACTGGTTTTGTGGTCCAGGGTCACATATAAGGTAATAAAAATATTTTAAAGTAACTAGAAATGAGCATGTAAAGCAAATATCTTTAAAAGAAATTCTTCCGTGTGGAGCATGTCCCCGATCCGTGCAATGTTCTCACTTTTTTCCCCTTTACCTGTTTTACCCGCACCTCTGTAGATAAAATAAATAATTATTATTTAACCCCTTCAGACCCTGCGTCAATTGGAATGGACATCACATGGTTTCTGGTTTAAACCAGTAAAATTTTAGGTTTTTATAATATATGAGTAATACCACAATAAAGATATGACCCCTAACTTTATCTGATTGAGATTCAGTCATCACAAAAGGAAGTTGTGGCTAACCAGCTAAACAGTCATAATTACAATTATTAATATAAATATTCATGTATTTGAATACATTTTATTTAAACAAATAATTTTATTTATTTATTTGAAAGAAATAACATTTAAAGTAAATAAAATAAATAATTATTTAATTAATAAATAAATAATACATTTTATTCAAATAAATTAAATGTAAATAAAATAAATAATTGTTGAATAAATTAAACAAATAATTGAATAAAACGAAATAATTTATTTTAAAATATAATTTATTTTACCAATTTTTATTCAAATAATTAATTGTATTTTTATTGATTTATTTGAAAAAATAACAATAAGTAAAATAATTATTTTAAAATGTTTATTATAATTATTTTTTTGAGAAAGTTTGATTCAAATAAATAATTGTTTATTTATTTGATTAAATCATATTTAATGTAAATAAAAGAAATTATTCTTGAATAATTAAATAATAAAAATAATTTTATTTAAAAATATAATTTTTTTAATAAATAGTTATTTAATAATTAAAATACATTATTAATTTAAAATATTATTTATTTTTATTTAAGTTTTAATCAAATATTTATTTATTTGTGTTATCATTAAAATCTCTTTCACTGTTCCTATTATTTTTATTGATGATTCTTACTGTAATCCAAATATTTTTTATTCTAATATATTCTTTTTATCAATCCATCTCCATAAATCTGACTTTTTAAAAATAATTTTCAGCCAATGTAATAATAGTTACATTTCTTCATTAAAAATAATAATATGTAATAGGGATGCACCGATGTATCGGCCGCCGATATTTATAGGCTGATTTTTAATTATTTTAAAGCCATCGGCATATTGGAAATAGCATGAAAAGGGCCGATACCGATGGTTTATTAATTAACTGCATGGAGACAACGAGTTGCATGTCTGTTGCATAATCCAACGTTTTTCTCTGGGCAAAATAATTAAATACTTGCCAAAACAAAATAAAATCTGTACAAACAAAGACGGCATAGTACGGCCTATGCAAACGTGACACTGATGCATCCAATGAGTGAAATGCCCGCGCTCAGCTGTAAATTCATCATAGGTAAGTTGCAATGGCAATGCACCGGCGTTAGAGATTATCTGAGGATATGTCACGAACCGCCAAGCATTAGGCCTACATTTAAGTGAAAATGAATGGCAGGTAATATGCAGCTTTTTGTTTGAAACCAGTGTAGAACACGGATTCACACAAGCTCACGTCACGCACCTGCAGCGTTTCTGTGAACGGAGAAAACAGAATAAAGCTATATAGGCTACATAAAAAGAAATATATAGGCCTATAGACAAAATATATTTAGCTTAAATCATTAACAGATTAACAAAATGAAAAGTGCTGAGTTTCGGATAATAACGCGCTCCGAAGTTCATGGGGAAAAAACCGAGACGGCAGAAACCCGTTTTCTTTATTTTGCAAAAGCTTTACAGTTTTGAATGATGTTTGTTATGACAAACCAGCGTTGGTATGACCATAAATTACCCGTAACAGTTGAGAAAACAATGAAGTGATCACGTCGGTGCCTCACACGCACATACAACATATTTTTGCTAATTTGACATAGCAGCCTGTTCATTATCAAAATACAATACAGTTAAACAAACATAAAAAGTTACACTGATGTTTTATGTCGATAATGCGAGTAAAGAACAAAGCCTATAGTTTAATAATAGGTTAGCATCCAGATACTTCGCGAATATGGAAACATTTGGATTCGTGCAGAATTAGAGAGATAGGCTTCAGTTTCGTTTTTAAATTAATTCGTTTTGGCTTGACGGTTATATTTATCACAACTTTAGAGGTTTTGTTGTGGAGAGAAGGGAACTAAAATAGCCTAATTGTGTTTGTAAGTTAGCTTTAATTTACCATTATTTTAGCCTACATTATTTCTGAATGTAATAATAAAATGCAATGTACAGCCTACTAATTTAGGCTGTTTTTTCCCCCTCAAAACGCTTAGGAGTAGCGTTTTTTTATCCATGCTGAAACATTTTTAAATATCTTGAAAAAAAAACACTTTAATGTTTTTAATGCGTTGACAGTTTTTTCTTTTGTTTAATACATTTGGTCTTTGGTAAATCTAGAAAGATGATGCTGTATTGGCTATGACTAAGTGAGATCAAGACTCTTTCTTTCTTTTTGAGTAAATTAAACGCTGTACTTTATTATTATTATTATTATTGGCAAAGAAAAAGTTTTAAAAATAACGTTATTAACCGGTATGTTTTCTACTCAAACCGTTTTCACAGAGGAACACAGGAACAGAAACGTTCAAATACCGATTCTGCTCGGAGTTAACCAATCTTTTTTTTTCTCGTTTTTTAGCCCTGCTTAATGCAATTGACCAATATCGGTATCGGTATCGGAATCGGCCAATAATTGTTTGCTAAAATTGGTATCAGTATCGGCCAAAAAAATCCTATCGGTGCATCCCTAATATGTAATGTAGAAAATAAAATTCATTTGTTTGTGAATCAGAAAGAATCAACTTATAAGTGTCATATCTTTGTGAATCTGAAAGAATTGGTTCATAAGAGTCGTTTGTTTCTGAATCAGAAAGAATTGGCTCATAAGAGTCATTTGTTTGCGAATCAGAAAAATATCAACTCATTAGTGTCATATGTTTGTGAATCCGAAATAATTGGTTCATAAGAGTCGTTTGTTTCTGAATCAGAAAGAATTGGCTCATAAGAGTCATTTGTTTGCGAATCAGAAAAAAAATCAACTCATAAGTGTCATATGTTTGTGAATCCGAAAGAATCGGCTCATAAGAGTCATTTGTTTCTGAATCAGTCTATGCTGATTCTGTTTGTTTGTGAAAACATTTTTTATTTCATTTTGTTTAATCAAACTGAAAGCTGACAGCTCTTTTGCTGCAGGAAACTCTGCTGTCTATTGTTCACAGATTCGTCACTAACCAGACAAAACACAGACAGATGTATGAACAGAAGTTCAACAGCAGAACTGTCACTTCAGTGCTGCGGCCTCGCTGACAAATGCATTGTGGGCCGTTTTTGTCTCTGTGCTGTTCTTAGGAGCTGAAAATAATTTGCAGTAGATTTTATAAACCTGCTCTAAGAAAAGCATTAGGAATAAACGCTGTTCTAATAAAGCCTGTTGCATTATTCACTCTAGTTTGTGTTGATTGTGTGTGTGTGTGTGTTTGTGTGTTTGTGTGTGTGTGTGTGTGTGTGTGTGTGTGTGTGTGTGTGTGTGTGTGTGTGTGTGATGATCAGAGCTGCGGATGCAGGAGATGGTTTCGATGGGAATTGGAAAC